CCAACTTGAAAGATGCAATTGAACATTACGAGAATTTTCGAACTTATTTACACAAGTCAGTACATTGCTTCATTATTTGATTTGATTAATTCCTATACCTCAAAGTTTAGGGACGCTCCACCAAAAACCTCTCTTCTACCGGCAATGAAACTGGTTTCGGCAAAGGGTGATCGAGCAACTGCTTTTGAGTTGAAATACGGAGTCGAGCCGACCGCTGTTGAACCGCCAAATTTCGAACTTCTCCTGCAAGCCAATGAAGTAATTTTTTTTCACAAACAAAATTGAGCTTAAATTTTTAAAAATCGATTATTTTTATTATTTTAGAAAAAAGAAAACGATGACGACGGTGCGATTGATTTTGGTGATGCAGAAATCGCTTTTGATGACGATCAAGTGATTGATTTTGGATACGATTCCAATTTCGAAGTGGTTGCTGACGATTCAGGTTTGTTGTTTATGCCGTTTGTGTTTTTTAACAAATTATTTATTTTAAATTTAGGTGCTGTGGGTAGTCTCGTTGCGCGGGGAGAAGACGCACTCGGAGTTCTCGAAAATACGACCACACAAAAGACGCTAAAGAATGAGCTACAAGAGGTTTGTTTGCGTTTTGAAAATAAATTTCAAAGTAAATTTTTAGTTATTAGCTTTCTTGACGATGCGCCTCGAGGATGAAGAGAGGGATTCTCAAGCTGACGCACTAGTTTTGGCTGCCGAAGTTCGACCAGACAATGCTAAAGTTTGTGTTTTCTTTTTTTGCAAAATTTTGGTTTGATTTAGATTTCGAATGCTCAATTAAATAATTGGATTCGATCGGTCAAAGAGATTGTCGCTGATTTCACAAATCCACAAAGAATTCACCTCTTCAAAATCAAAGCAAGCCCACAGTAAGTTAAATAGATAAAACTTTAAAGAATATTATATCGGAATACCTAGACATTTCTTGTTTGCTACAATTTATTTCAGATATGTTGAGACTCTTGTTGAGGATTTGGAACGGAAAAGAGATGCGGAAGGACGATTAGTTGATAGAGCCAAATTGATGCAACAAAAACAGGTAAGCAAATTTATTGCGTTCAATAAAGTGGTCAGCTATTGAAATAATAATTGTTGCATTTAAAAGCTTTAGAGTCAACATGAGCAAGAAGAAAAGAAGTTGAGGGACAACCTGAAATCGCTGCTCGAAAGCACAAAGGAGTTACAGAAAGAGGTATGCGTTCATTTTAACGTTGAAGGTTTTTCATTGGATTGCTTTACAATACAATCAACTATTTTAGATTGAAAGCGAAATCTCGAAAAAGTACAGCAATCGCCGCGTGAATATCATGGGTGGGATAAATCTAATTAAAAGTTTGTAGTTTCTATTCTTTTTGTGGTTTTTACTAGAATTTTCTGCATTTTATATTTATTTTTGCGAATTTTAAGTGTCATATCATAATGTTTTTGTCTGTCGATTTTTGCCTTTTCTGTGATATTTCTTGTTTCCTATCGTTAGCGCAGTAACTCGTGATTTAATTTTTTTTGTTTGTGGTTTATGGTTTTTCAGGTAAAAATCTTATTCTACACAGTTTGAAATGCACACATCAAAAACCGCAAAGAAAATTGCTCTTATAGTTTATTTAGCGGCATTGATTGTTTATAGTGCTTCATTTCAGCGGAAATCGGGTGCTTTTTCGCTCAAATTCCCTGATAACACAGTCAAGTATTGCTTTTGGTAAAAGTTTTTTAAAAGTACGACAAAAAAAGTTCCTTAATGCTTTTTAAGTCGGCCCATTTGACGCTCGTTTTCTATTTATTTTTGACGACATTAAATGCCTCAGCAAACACGAAAAAATCATTATCGGTGAGGGGAACTCTCAAATGTGGAGCCGTTCCCGCATTCGGCGTTTTAACGAGACTTTTCGATCGAGGATCAGGTTCGGTGTTAATTGTTTGTATGCATGTTCTTTTCTAAAAAAAAACTTGATCTTTTTCCAAATTAATACAATATTACCAGTACTCAGTCGACATTTTGTTAACACCTAGCAGAAACTAGCATTTATACAATGGCTTACCGTTTCTTTTCAGAGGCGACGCAAGCTTTAACCGAAGAACACACGAATAAAAACGGTGAATTTACGCTACAGGCGAGCTTCAATCCGGTGAAAAATCTATCGCCTGAGTTAAAAGTTTATCATGATTGCAATGATGGGAAAAAGGTAAACGGGCTTATTGAAAATGTTCAAATCAAATTTCAGCCAGGTTTGCGCAAATTTCGCTTCAGAATCCCTGAGAATTATGTAGTGGAAACGGGAAATAATAAAGTTTCTCTGTTTTTTGTTCGCAATACGAAAAATAGTTTAGATTTTCGAGTTGGGTTTGATTAATTTGGAGATGAAAATGTTGGGTGAAGGACGGACGAACAATGAAAAAGCGGAAGATCACGGGAGACGATTGGTGAGGAGCGTACAAGAAGTGGTAAGTTGAGGGATCACAAAGCGTAGAAGCCACATAGAAAAAGAGCTAAAGAAAAAGACGAAGAAAGAGTCACAGTAAACCTGTTTTTTTAGAATTGAATCAGTAAATGGGGGTAGGCTAATTTCCGCCATTTTATTTGTGCAACAGGGTCATTTGCGCAACTAGGCTTTTTGCGCAACTCGCCATAACTTTCTTCTCGTGACACAATCTTTATGATTTTGGTTTCATTTTGTAGATCTCAATAAGTGCAACAAAATGACATCAAAATCATAACGATTGACCCACTTAGAAAGTTATGGTCGGTTACGCAAAAGATCCAGTTGGGTAAAAAAAATTTGGCGCAAAGTAGTGATCCCCATGTTTGCAATCACAGTCGTATGCAAATAACTAGCTCATTTACTGGGGTAGGCTAATTTTCGCCATTTTATTTGCGCAACAGGGTCATTTGCGCAACTGGATCTTTTGCGTAACCGACCATAACTTTCTAAGTGGGTCAATCGTTATGATTTTGATGTCATTTTGTTGCACTTATTGAGATCTACAAAATGAAACCAAAATCATAAAGATTGGCTTACTTAGAAGAAAGTTATGATGAGTTGCAAAAAAATTTCCAGCAAAGTAGCCACCCCTTGAAAATATAGGCTATCTAGCTTTATTTTATCGTTTTTTATTAAAAGAGCGATTGGATTACGGTACCTTTTCCCTCAAGTGCAGCTTAGAAAACAACTTTACCTACTGGGCATGATTTCCATCTGGAAAAGTCTTTCAAGTTCTCTTAGTCACCAATTTAGGTATCCTGTGACGAATGCACAATAAAAGACGACGTTTACATTTCGAGGGATTCAGAAAGCAGAAGAAAAATCACGACAAAATCCCCATTTCGAGGCCTCGATGAGAGTCCCGAGCAACGAATTGACCCCTGGTGATTGAATAAAGAATTTCAAATTTGAAAGAATATTTTGTAAATGGAATTCCATGAATTTCTCATGTTTTTGATGCTTTTATTCAAATCGTTTTTAGAGTATGGCCCGAATTTTAGCTACAGGATTGCTATTTGAGGTGCTAACTATAATTTTGGGATTTCGTTTGCAAGGTGTTGCAGTGAAAGGGAAACTATTGTGTCATGATAAAGTTTTCCGGAATACACGAGTGAAGATTTACGATTTGGATAGAAGTGAGTTGGTGGTGTGGGCTATGGATTAGGTAATCTTTAATCGATTAGGCAATCGAGTAAGCTTCAATCTTCAATCGAACTGGATTGAAGTCTTGCATTTAACAATTTCCCTTAACTTTTTGATTATTGAGTAACGAAACCAAGTGGAAAATCGGTTTAGCGCATTCCCGGCTTACTAGCAGCTACACAAAATCCATTAGCATATCCATTGGCTCTACTAGTGTCAGATGCAGCTCGTAACCAAGGCTTATAAAGCGATTAGCGATGTAGAGTATCAAAGTTTACAGTTGTAACTTTAGAAACAAGCTTTAGAAACGGCAGAGACTGTAATCAATAAACTATTGAGTTGATTGAGTTGACTTAAATGTCCATAAAGCTTTTTTTGTGGCGAATCGCGACCTTAAGTTGCCCAATTTCTGTTGAATTTGTTCAACTTTTACCCTAAGAAAGGACGAAATGGGAATCCCACAAAATGCCCCCTTTGAGCTGAGATCATCTACCGTAAATACTGTAATAGTACCCCCCCTCGTACAGTCGCGTAGTCGTAAAAGTTTTTTAGTATTTCATTTTTTTTCAAAGCGCCCATACTTTCAAAAAATGCGTCTTTGGTATCAAAAAATAGCTGAAATTGAGGGCTATTTTTTGATACCTAAGCGCGCATTGTAGCATAAACCAGTGTCGAGAAAAACTCGTTCAAAGCTCGACTACGCAACACTCCACACCGGCATTTCATTATGGGGCTGGGGTACTATTACAGTATTTACGGTATCACTTCTGGTTTCTTCCTTTATGCCCAATATTTCTTTTTCTTTCGTAGCTCTTTTACTGAATCGCCTACATAAAGCCATTTATTTGTTTTCGTCTCTTTTTCTTTTGTAAAAATTATCGGTAAAAGTTTTTTGTTGCCCGTTTTTCATTTATCTTTCGACACGTGTGTTTTGTCTCAACTTTCATTGATTTTGCAAGCTGTTCATCAAAACTAGAAGGTTTCGAAACCTCGGGAAGCTGGGATAAAATTGTGTCGTGATTCATTGAGAAAACTGTGTTCAGTGGGATCAAATAACTTCAGCAAAATTTCCAACACTTTTAAATTTTCGATTTCTTCTGATCTAATTTTCAGATCCCGGTGACTCTGACGATCTACTCGACGATCGGTATACGAATAAAGTATGTAATTTTGAACTTCATACTAATTTTGTGTCTTTTATGATGGAGAATTTCGTCTCTTCGGAACAACGAGAGAATTCACGGATATCGAACCGGTTTTATATATTTATCACGACTGTGATGACGATATACGGGTTGGTCAAAGAGAACACATAATCCATATAATTTCGAGTTTTCTGTCTGTCTGTGTCCGTTTTCCCCGAGATGAAAGAACTCACCATCCCCGAAGGAAACAAAAAGAAAGAATGAAAAGTTAGCGCTCTTTTCTTTGTCATAACTTTAGCTTAAATGCAAATTGAAATGAAAAGCTTAAATGAAACCGACTATGCGCCGGCGCCGATTTCCAGCGAGCTTTCACCCACTTATTTTTTATAACGTATTTTCCCTAATAGTAGTGCACCCTAAGCTTTGTCTAAATTGCTTGAAATCTCGAAAAGCGCTTATCAGAACCTATCGATGTGGGGTCGGAAGATGAGATCTTGTGGGGGATTTGAGTGTTGAGCTTCTGGGAAAACTTGGAGACTGTAAAATAGTGCTCAACTCGGCTCGGCGGGAAATATTAGGGAAATAGATCAGTCTGATCTACTAGCCTAACCTGGAATAATCTACCGTCTTCTCTCTAATAGTAGTGTACCCTGAGCGTTGCCTAAATTACTCGAAATCTCGAAAAGCTCTTATCAGAACCTATCGATGTGGGGTCGGAAAATGTAGCTGACGATGAGATCTTTTGGGGGATTTGAGTGTTGAGCTTATGTGAAAACTTGGAAACCGTAAAATAGTCATCACCTCGGCTCACCGAAGTCCACTACTATAGGGAAAATACGATAATTAAAACCAAATGTGATGGCAAAGTCGGACCTTTCAGCCATGCCAAAAGCGGGTGAGAATCGACGTGCCAACGCGGTACATCGTCACGAGGAAAGAGCCAAGAGATTCTGGTAATTGTACAAGAAAATACTTCAAAAACTCAGCAAAAGCAAACTCTTTATCAATTGAAAAACATTAGTCAATAGATTATTATCAACAATTAGCTAATAGATATGATTTCCAGTGCTTTTTCTTTTTAGAATGGTTCGATATCGGTACTCTCTACTTGGAGAACACATTTCCTGGACAAGATCGGAGCTGTGAAAATTGAGGCAACAAATCAAAGGATTAAATTTGTAAAAATAAACTTTTTAGAATATTCTCTAATCCAGAGTCTCTAAATTTTTCTTTTTTCTTCTGTTCTCAAGGAAGATTTTTTAAAGTAAGCTTGCGAAGCAGTGGCCTACTGTCGAGTTTTCTTGGATTGAGCAGGAAAACTTCGAGAAATTTTCTAATCTTCATTTAACTTCTGCAAGTCTTATTGTTTACTCGTACCTATTCTTTCCGGAAAACAATAGATCCTGTTGCCTTGTGCCTTGTTTATTGTGAGTATTTGTTCTGTTTAATCACTGAGAGACTCAATCGAGAGTGACAAAAAGCTCAAGATGCACTCAAGAATTGTTTTTTGAAAAGCAAAAATCCCATCGGAGATTTTATTCATTGAACCCGCGATCAGAAAAAAGGCACAATGCACGTGTTCCTGATGTGACAGTGCGAATTTCTTTCAGGGAAATTGGAAAGAATGAAAAGAGGAGAGGAAAAGAAATCAACCTCGATCAACATCACTTCAGTCATTTCTATTGACATTTTGGTGAAAAATTCACGTGAAATAAACTCTTCCTGGGTGTTTATGATTGTAGTTTTTGGGAAAAGATTTTCGATGTTTTCAATGATCAATTCAAAAAAGGAGTACTTTAAGAGTTTATGCGTATCCGTTGATGACTTTCGAAATGTGACAACTGATTTCAATCGCATTGAAAAAGCGATCGGATTGGAGGAAATTTCTGCTTTATTTACAATGTGTTAAAAGCAACTTTTTAAATCAAAATTGTTCAATTCTTCAACAGAGGAGGATCGGCTTGACATAACAAAACCTATTCTTGAAAAAGACCAGAAACTAGAGTTTACAACTAGACTTACCTTTCCTCCAGTGTTTGAACGAAATTAGATCTTGCTCTTCTTTTTTTCCTTAAGAGTTTTAGACCTTCTTCAAGAGAGGAGGATCGGCTTGACATAACAAAACCTATTCTAGTCTTCTACTTTCCTTTATTGAGTTTTATCCTTTATCCTTTTTAGATTAGAGTGTATTCCTTTCGAGTAATGGCTTTTCGAAAATGCACCTATTTGAGAAAACTATCGTTAGTTTACGTCCGATCAGTCCAATTTTAACAATATTCAAAGATCATCGTAATCCCACATCAAATGATACTAAAATTGGGCTGATTGAATGCAAAATGGCAGTTTTATTACGGTAACTTTCTAAAATAGGTGACTTTTAGCGGATTCCTCAAGAGGAACACATTCTATTGGGTTGGGGAGAATGAGTCGGCGCCAAACTTTAAAGGGACTTTTTGCACACATAAAGCCTTCTTTAAACATACGTTTGGTTTCATCAAAAGGATCCACTATTTCTCTACAAAATGACTTTTGAGAGATTCCACAAAGCTTTCCTTTCGTGGAGTTTATGAACTTCCAAACGCAGCTGGTTAAAATGGCAAAGAGTCCGACTCATCATTTGAACAGTTTCTTTCACATAAACCTTCTTTGGTGTTTATAAAAAAGATAGAGCACATTCAATTACTTAAGTTGCCAAATTTGCAGGAAGATCCCACCAATGGTTTTTTCTAGATCACAGTTTGTAGTTTTTGTGAAAAAATGGCTTTTTCTTGAGCGGAGGCGCTGTTTGAATTTTCTTTTAAATGTCATTTTGTAGAGAATTAGTTAACCATTCTACTGATATCAAACGCATATTATTTGACGAAGTCGAATAGAAGTTTTAGACATTTTTTTGATTTTCGGCGCCGACTCATTCTCCCCAACCCAATATTTAGAATCAGCAAAGAATTTCTTATTCTTTCTCTTAAACAAACTACTCTTGGTTTTGATATGTAAAGTGTCCAAGAAACTCACAAATTTGAATATTTTGACTGCAACTGGTTTAATTGTTCAGTAACTTGAAAAACTTGATAGCTTTCACACATTTAGACATCATTTGATCGTTCAATGTTCAGCAGTTGATCAAATGAAAATTTGACCACCAACATTATCTATGCCTGTACTAGGTATTATTGGTGGTAAAACTGAATCAGTTCCCACACAGTTGGCCACTAATCAAGCACCAAGCAAGTATCAAAAAGTCTTTTGATACTAAATCATCTCGATTTCGATTTCAACATTCAACAACTTTACAAGAAACCACTTTTTTGTCGGTCCCTTCTTTTATTTCCTTTTTTTTCGCTCATTGATAGACAACAAAAAAGTCAGTTGAGAAAAACACACGAGTAAATGTCATTTTAACGCATGATATTTGTTTTTTTAGGGGGAAAAAGACAAAGAAAGACGGAGAATTCCCTAAATTGACTCGATCAAGCATTCACGTGATTTGGTCGAACACCACCATGTGGACAATAAGGAAACTTGAAAAGGATTGGAGTATGAATCTTTGTGAAAGTGAAACTGATTCATCTGATTGATACAATTCAAATACCGTATTTTCTCTAATAGTAGTGCACCCCGGCGAGCCGAGTTGATGACTATTTTACGGTTTCCAAGTCTTCACAGAAGCTCAACACTCAAATCCCCCACAAGATCTCATCGTCAGCTACATTTTCCGACCCCACATCGATAGGTTCTGATCAGCGGTTTTCGAGATTTCGAGGAATTTAGGCAACGCTATTAGAGAGAAGACGGTATATATGATGTATGATATATATGATATACCGTATTTTCTCTAATAGTAGTGCACCCTGAGCGTCGCCTAAATTGCTCGAAATCTCGAGAAGTATTCAAGACATTTACCTAAGTCATATATCATTAAATCAAACCAATTTCTTATTAAAAACATTTGTTGTTCAAAAAAAATGGTTATCGTTAAATCGAGTATAAGCAAGGACCAATTTGTAAATCAAAAATGACTGACATTGAAAATCTTTCCCCATAAATATCTTAGTCAAAGTTCTATGTTTTACTAAAGCATCTAAAAGTTATTCATAAAGTTCTTAGGAAATCCACTTTCACTCTAATCCAAAGTTTTGCACGTCTTGAAAAAACGAAAAAACGAAAAAACTCACCTACACTTTTTCTTCAGAAAACTCGATTTACTAAAACGCATTTCACCATTCATAAATCTTGACTTGTCTTTTCTCGCCTCATTTTTATTCAAATTTATTGCAAGAGGTTGGTTGAATAAAGGGAAAACGCTATAGTTTAGCTATTTCTCTAAAGCTATAACAATTCCTGCAAAATCTAGATTCTAAAGTCCATTCTGATCTCATATTTTAGATTTCTTCTAAGAATATGAGTTTTTTTTAAAGATCTAGAATCTAGATTTAGAAAATCTAGGTTCTAAAGCAACGCTTAGGTCAAGAATTTGTTTGTTCATTTTGAACAAATCATATTCTGAGGATAATTTTGATTTTAGAGAATCCCTGGAAAAGCAATTTTGAGCAGAGAACAGATCTTTGATTTTGAAGTAGAAAAAAAAAGAAAAAGACCATGTAAACGAAGGGTTTTTTTTACGTCTTTTCCCTTTTCTTCATCGAAAATAAAGTTTTCTGCGGCTTTTCCCGAAGAAAATCCCCTTTTGCAGATTGCTGACGACATGGAAAGGCTCGTTTTTCATCGAATTTTTTGCTCCCCTTTCTTTTCTTTGATGGATCCAATTGTTTAGATTGAGGTGACGAAAATTCTCCTTCTTAAATGGGGATTAATCATGAAATGATTCAGATTTTTAGACTTAGAATCTGGGAGGAAAAATCGGGAGTTGTTGAGGAAATGTTATTGTTGGGTGATTTGATGGAGAAATTTCGCTTCTTTGCTTGTTTGATTGAATCGAGTAAGCAAAGAGAGTTAACTCCCTTTAAGAGCTAAGAGTTGAGCAGGCGAAATGAAGTCGTTTGTGGTGTAATGGTGAGCAGGAAAAGTTGTTATTGTCGGGTGATTTGATGGAGAAATTTAGCTTCTTTGCTTGTTTGATTGAATCGAGTAAGCAAAGAGTTAACTCCCTTTAACAGTCGAGAAAACAAGGCCCTTTCTGGTGTAATGGCTAGCAAAGTTGGCCAGTAAGCGGTAGGTGGGGGGTTCGAACACTTTCGCCGGACGATTTTTTGATCTACCCTAGTTTCAACTAAAGAAACCGTTGAAAAGTTGTTTTTTTAAGGTGTACTATTGTAATAGAATAGAAACATATCCATTCTGGCGCAGTCAATCCTGTTTCTTCTATTTGATATACAAAGAAAGATTGAGTACATCAGAAAGGTTTGGTTTCCACAACTTCCACAAGATCAATGCTTATTATAAGTTAAATATCTTTAAAATCAAATAGTTAGCAAAAGATCTTAAAGATATCAATAATAATTATTCATTCTGTTAGCTGAATTCTTTTTTTCCAGCTCACTGTAACTAAGCAACATCTTCAGATTTACAAATAAACAAATCAGCAAAATCCCTTTCAGAAGATATTCTTTGCCCTTAAAATCCATTGATTTCATTCTCCGTTTTGTCGGCTTAAATAAAAGCTCTCTCAGTTCACAATCAGCGATTGATCGGCTGGGAATCGAGATGTTTTGAGATTTTTGCGTTTTGAGATTTCTAGTGTTCCTTTTTTTTCTTGCACTTCAAGAAAAGAATCAAAACATATCGGGAGTCTCTTTTTGAAATGAAAACATTGAAATGGAGTGGAAAGAGGAAAAAGAGGAAAGGAAAGGGGGAAGGTCAGAGTTTGAATTGTGTCCGGCCACGTGGAGGGCACGATTTTCGTCGGTGTGCATTTCTGTACCTGAACATGATCTGAATGCGAATCGAATAACGGTGTGGATTGTCTTATGAAGAATGGTTAAATGATTAAATGATTAGAATAGACTAAAGCAAGATTCTATTAGCATTTAGCTTATTTTTGAGAACGTTGAACTAACTACACGACAATCAAATCCATCTATGACAAGAGTTCATCGTTAAGCGAAGAAAGAGTTGGCAAAAGCATTAAATCGTTTAAAAACCAACTACCCAACATCTAAATTCATCCAGAAGGGATTCTCTGATATCAAAATT